TCTCAATCATATATGACCCCTACCAACGGTATCGTATCTACCCTACACGAAAAGCTGTCATAAATCACCGTTCAGAGATAATCATATTCTATTTTGCAAAAAATATATGAGATTGGATTTTCATTAACATGTTATGTTTATGACCTAGATCTACAAAATCTAATGGAATAGTGAATTCGCATTAAATCAAAGAGATTACTGTGCAAAAAGAAGGGCTGGTAGCAATCAATGCTGTCAAAAATAGTGATTTTCGTGACCATGTTGAAGAAATAAGTGACCAAATAGTGACTTATAGTAACTCGATGAACATTTCAAATGGTCCTATCTGCTTCGATCGATTCTCTTTATCGAATTTTTTCTATTCATAACCACTGCTTTGTAAACAAATTTCGCGCTAATTCTACCACATAGTTTGATAAAGGAGGTTCTTATCTAGCGTCCAAAACGTCAAATACAACAGGGAAAGGTTTTGCAGCTGAGTTATTGACGAAAGAGAATCGATCAATACAGATAGGACCTTTTGAAATGTTTATCTAGAGTTGTAAAAAGTGACTTAAGGGAAGAAAAGTAGTCGCTCTGATTAGACTTATTCAATTAGATTCTCATAAACACTTAAATATGTACGATAGGAACCTTTAAAGCGAAAGATTCAATAGAAAGTTTATGACTAAGCCTCCAAGCTTCTACGACCTGGAAAACCCTGAAAAACCTTAAATTCAATTTTATTTTTCCTGAAAATACCTAATAATTTAATAATTTTCTTACTAAGAATGCATTTTAAAATAAAAACATTTAATAGTTCTAGTTATTTTCATTAACACATTGAACTTTATAGATCCTGAATGGATTAATCTTCAGTAACAAATATATTTTTTTTTAAATTCAGAGCATAAGAATATGCATATTTCCCACAAATTTTATTAATTCTGAACTGAAAAGTTATAATACTTCAAGAAATTTTCAAGAATCTGGAATCAAATTCCTTGCACAGTTTAAAGGGTCATGGAATTTTATTATAATTTCTAAGGACCTCATTCCACGTGAGTTTTGGGAATCCATGAGAAAAACATCAACTGTTATCTACTTTCATGGTACTTCTGAGGAATTTTAGACTTCATGTGAAGCCTTAGCCGAAGATATTAAACTCCAAGCGAATTTTCATGAGAAATCTTCGTTGAATATGGAATAGACTATTCTGAGGTCTTCAGAACTACTTGAAAGTTTCCAAAATATACCCAACGTTAATTAAACTGCCTTGAAGTTCCTTTGTAGTTTGAGAATCTAACCTGATGCTCGCAATACTTCTCATATTTTTTTTTAATTCTCTAAACTTTTTCGGACTTCCTAAAGTTTCCACAATTTTCCACAATATGAATCTTCTCCAAAGTGTTAACAATTCACTGAATTTCTCGAAACTTTTTAAAACTTATGTAATTTCCCTGCTCTGAGGAGATCAATATCTTTCTCGAAGTTCTCAAAACTTCTCTAAAGTGTTTGCAGTTCTTATGAAGCTTGTTGTACTACCATGAATTTAATAGAACTGTTCTAAAAATGTTTAAGCTTGCGTAAACTTCTGGACTTATGTGAAAACCTCAATAATTTTCTTAACATCTCAAAAGTTCTCTGAAAATCTGGTAACTTTTTGAAATTTCCCGCTAATTTAGTAAACTAATGGAACTGAACTCCCCTGAAATTCCATTTGTTTTTGGAACTTTACTAAACTTATTTGAGATGCTCCTGAAATGTTCATAAAAGTTCCTGACGTTCTCGAATTTTTCCTCAAGTTCCATAGATTTTTATGAAGTTCTCGAAATGTTTCTGAAGATCTCTGTACTTCTGTGAAGTTTTCGAAGTTATTCTGAAATTTTAGGAACTTCCTTAGGCTTCCGTAGCGAAATAATTAATATATTTCTATGATTTTCACTGAAGTTATCATGATTTGTCTGAAGTTTAAATTATCGAAACTAATTCATAACTTTTTAAATAGTCTAGATTTTCCCGTTTATTTTAAAACTGCCCAAAATATTTCTCAATTTCCTTAAAATTCTCTAGACTGCCCTGTCTCAGATTTTTTTAAAAGAACCCACCATTTTACTGGAATTGATTTAATTGCTTTTAGGTTCTACAATTTTCCTTAAGTTTTTAAAGTTTAAATACGCTCACGGAATTTTGCCGTAAATCACTAATTTCCCTGGAAGAAGTTTTTTAAGCTTACTTTAATTTATCAAAATTGATCAAATGTTGCGGTAAATTTTCTGATATATATTTATAATTCCCTGGAGCTTCTAAAGTTTTCGGATCAATCATAAAATTCTCGGAATATCCCATAATTCTAAGGAACTCCTTGTAAGTCGCTGCAAATTTCATTAAGTTGATGAGATTTTTCTGATGTTATCTGATCGTCCTCGAAGTACTCGGAACTTCACTGAATATAATGAAACAATCTAAAAATATCTTAATTTCTTAGAAGTTCTCTGGAATTTCTTGAAAATATCGGTGCTTGCTAAAAGTTTTCTTGAAATTTCCATGATATAACACCCTTGAAATACTCTCACATTTTCCAGATGTTCATACAATTTTTATTGCGTTCCAGAAATTTTCTCTGAGCAAACCAAGGTTTCCGGAAATTCCGGTTTCTGCAATTTCCTTGAAATTTTTTGAACTGCCCTTTAATTCTCTGATCTGCCTTGATGTTCTCGGAGCTTCCTTAAAACCCTCAACTCTAATGAAGATCTCGGTTCTGCTTTAAAATAAATGCAATTCTCGTAAACACATTTAAACGTCCCTAGAATTATCTGGATTACTGTGAAGTTCCTGAGATATTTCTGAAGTTTTCATAAATTTTCTGGCAGTGTCTGTACTGAATCTTTCGGTAAATCTTATGGGTTCTCGATTTTATTTCAGCACCTCATGGAACTATCCTGAATTTGTTTAAACTCTATAAGCGTGAGTTTTTTTAAACCAATTCAATAGTCTGGGCTGAAGTTTCGGGGACTTCCCCTTAAGATCTCTAGATCTAGCTTTTCTGAGATTAATTGAACTTCATTAAAGTTTCCACATTTTTGATAGTACGAAACGTCAAGAAATTAAAAATGTTGTGATCTTTGACTTACTTAAATGAAGTAGGTGTTCAACTTCAACAACATTTAATGGATTTGATAGTAAAGCTGTTTCTTTAAAACTGATGTCTTAAAAACGTTCGCGTTAAAAACAAATTTTTAACGCATTTCATGAACAGCATTCTTTTTATAAACCTGGAAAATATCCGCCAAAGTTATGGAAAAACCTGAAAAACTCATAGAACTTTATTTAGTCGAATGATTGGACACCCTGTAGATAGAGAAGACCGATTAAACGTAAAAAAAAAACTCTATACCGTCGTCAACTTCAAATTGTTAAAAAATTAGAACAAAATGTAGACCTATCCAGAAGAATGATCAATCTTGAAATAAATTTACGTTTAAAAAAGTTTAAAATAGTGACTTATTAGAAGAAAAAGTGACTTTAGTGACTTGGCCTTAAAAAAAGAGACTTTTTAGTGACTGGCTTGAAAAAAGCGACCAAGTCACTAAATAGTGACTCGTTATCAACCCTGAAATAGTGAGACTGTCTCTGTATTTTGGTTAAAAGTTATTCAAATCATCCTGGAGTATAGATCTTGAGGTACTACAAAGCAAATAACATTTTGTGGTACACAAAGAATTGTTAGCAAAATATTTATCATTCTCCAAATTGTCCTGGAGCTTTTTTTTAAGTTCATCGAAATCTTGTTCTTGTTTTTCACTTCGCGGAGCCTCATAAATAACACCAATTAAAATGTTTAAATATGGTAAAAAATAGCATTCTTGGATTCTCCAAATCATCCCGGAGATCTGATCTAGAAGTTCTGCAAACTCAACAAGGTATTCTACGATGTCCCGACTAATCTTGTGAACCCGCTTAGCACAAAGTGCAGAAATAAATCCTTTGATTCATCTCAGGACCCTTCATGTCATGTCACTTTTTTTAGTTCGTTGATTCTATCCGGTCTCGGACATCATCTGCATGCCAAGTTTGATCGGGCATTCATGGAGTTCGAAATCGGAAATTTTGTGATTGACATGAATCTGCTTCATGAAAGGATTTGTCTCGCTCAGACTATTTCACTCGGAAAACGGTAGCAAAAGAACTCACACTTCTCCAAATTCTAAAAATCAGCTCTGCGAGCTAAACAAATTTACTATGAATCCGACAAACAGAAAAAAAATAACTCTAAATCACAATAAATCACCAAACGTCGCCGTGGGTACTTGTAGGTGGTATTGATTAGGTTCGACGCTGTTATGGAAATTACATAACTCCTAGTTGTCATCTTCCTTTTCTTTCCTCTTGAAAGGGAAAGTCCTCTTTTCATTTTAATATGTGATTCACTTCCAACACAATGACGGATTCACTTAACACATCAAATAGTTCTTCAAAACTGACCTTCACAACAAGGCTTCTTTGTGAATGATCTTCTCTGCTACACAACACACACAATTTTCGGAAGTAAATCGAAAAAATTCCCAACCAACTGCAATACCACCGTAGCGTACTCGACACTTCAAAATAAGCGAAAACTTTCAACTTTGAAAAGGCGTGCCACAGCCAGACGCACGGAGAATCAATTTTTGCAGCACGGAAATATCGATGTCTACCGTAGCATGCCACCACCGTAGGAGGTGTTTGGTATTATTACGACATAGCATTATTGTAGAACGCGACCCCAAACAGTGCAAGAGATACGTATGGTATGGCACTTCGCTACTGTGAACTGACGACGATGACGATGATGGCTAACAAGATAGGAGGGAATAAAAGTAACACCGAACGAAGGAAAAAAAAAATACACACCATCTCTGTCAGTCGGTTGTGCAATGCAGACAATTGTCCTTGAAAACGGCACACGACACACGATGCAATGGCAAGCGAGGAAAGCAAGGGTATAAGAACTAAAATACTGAATCCCCAGTTTAGCCTACCTCCGTGCAGAAAATATTCAGAGTGCGCCTTGTTTTTGCGTAATCACATTCTTACGGAATGAGATAGAAATTAGTGGTCGTTTTTTTCCTCCATGATCTCCACCAATGCGGTATTTTATTGAGCCAAAGTGCTGCGATTATTTTCCGCAATGCACATTGTCGTCTACACTTAGTAGTCCTCTACAATAGAACCTTGTTACTTCCTCACTGCTGCCGCTGCTGATAGCCCTTCACATGGTTTGCTCTCATAAATGCACGCGACTACGGTGATGCTCTTGTGTAGTACTTGGCAGCACTACTACCACCCATAATCGCATAACAGTCCCATATGAATAGGAAATCAAGCAAAGATGGGCCTGTTATGCGATTATGGCAACACTACAACATGGTATAGGCTTACACATACGTGATGCTGCTACGGTTCACACCAGTTCCGTTTCTGACGCTGATGTCCATCATTTGCGCCATCATCATACACCAATACAGATCAGCCAGCACCAGAACGCGGAGAAGAGCCAGAAAAGTACCCCCTTTTCGCTAAAATAAATGTCGCGCATAGAACACACGCGCGCGAGATCGCCTGAACCGCATCATCGTACAGTAGTTGTTCACCGCCGTTCATAACTACATAGTCATATGTGGCAGTCAGCAGATGAGCGCAGAAAATTCGCATACCACTCATCGTCGTCGTCGTCGTCGCCGTTCGGACTTGATGTGTTTGTGTGATGTCAGCCTCAGAGCTTGTGGCGATTCTTGCAAAACACATACCGACCCTACAACAGAGAGAGGCAGGCCTCCCACCCTGCGATGGGAACGCATTATTTGGTTCTCGTTCCCGTTCCGCGTACGACGGGGCGGCTCGCTACTAGTGCATCAACTCAACAACCATGATGGATGCAGGGCGACGGCGATAAGGCACAAAATGCATCCCTTTTGCAATTTACGATTCTCTTTGGTCGCGTTTACCAGATTGACCTTTTTGCGCTGAGATTTTTAGCAGCCATGCTCCGTTCGATTTTGTTCAGCAGGGGGAATTTGGATTCCACAAAAACTGTCTACGTAATTTATGAACAGTATCCTGTAGATTGTCGCACTTTAGCAGCTTCCAAAACTGTTTAGATTTACGTTGATTTTTTGTAGAGATTCTGCTGCCACGACCCCCTGGGTCTGCCGCCTTCGCTACGATGTCCTGTCGGATTCCAATCCATTACTTTCGACCTTTTACAGTTAGTGGCCAATACTGGCTTTTGTTGACATTGATAATGAAATAGCTCAGCATTCCAAGTTCAGTTGTGAGCAGCGATGCCATGAATTCTGATTTTTTTACACGACAAAAGTTGGGTCCGATTGTTTGGGTTGAATTTCATCGAAGTTTTATGTAATTAATTTCTGCTTTTTTTTATGCGTTGCCAGCATTTGGATAATCTAAAATTCCGATGCGAACGGAAAAAAAAATTCAGATAGAGTACAGTCGCAATTACTGTGCATTTGAAATCGGAAAAAAATTGGTTGAAAAATTACATAGGGGAAATGACGGCTTCGGCATGACATACTATTTTCGGCAACACAAATTGAAACACTATTTTCACTAGATTTTCTTACGAAAACACTTCGCTGAATGCATGCAAACGATTCTTTATGCTTTCAGCTTCAATTTGACTATATTTTTACCACTTAGAAAAAGCAATCTAGCAAGGTTTTCTTGAAATGCAACACCCGCAGTACAAATTGTAGCTGATTTCGAGTTGCCGATAATAGAACAGCAGATTTACACGCAGTTCAAATGGAACGGTTGCCGAAGAAAAACTGGTTGCCGACAATACTCGCTCTCACTAGAGAAGATTGGAGCTTTGTAAAAGCGTTTCAAAACAGTTTTTGACAATTCTTTCGACTGAAATTGTTAGAGCAGCTGGCAGCAAAAGATTGTAAACAAACCAATACTGCATATGTGTGCGTTCCTTAGAGAAAAAGGCTATAGAAAGATGGTCGCTGCTTAGGTTGCCGAGAAAACGTAAATTCCCCTACTACGGGAATAATTATACCTCATAGCCTAGTCAGTAAAGGCACGGTATTACCAAGCCGGAGGCGGGCGGGTTCGATTCCCGGTCCGGTCGAGGGAATCTTTCGGTTGGAAATTTTCTCAACTTCCCTGGGCATAGAGTATCATTGTGCTTGCCACACAATATACAAATTCATGCATTGGTAATTGGCATCGAAAGCTCTCAATTAATAACTGAGGAAGTGCATTTAGAACACTAAGTTGAGAGCACGCAATAAGCTAATATGCAGTAAGCAATAAGCTTGAAATGCGAATAAGAAGAAGGGAATAATTATACGCAAAATCGGTGCGCATCGTCCGTGGCTCGTGTTCGGTGTGGAAAAGTCAAGAAATTCGTGGAATTTGAGTGTGAAATCTTGCGATTAATATCTCGTCATCCAAGTCGATGAAGAGTGATTGGATGTGACTAGGAAGCCATTTTGGTTTTACCTAGAGCAGGGGCTAAGAGAAGAAAGTGATTTGTACATCTGCGAAAAGAAGAGGAAAAAGTGGAATAGGGGAAATGCAGGTAATGTCGGCCTAAGTGTCCCTAGTTTGGGCCCATACATAAATTCAGCAATTGACTAAATTTTCAATAGCAACCAAAAATATCCATTAGTAACGTCTCAATAACGCGTTCATCTAGTTAAAATTGATAAATAGCAGATTTTTAACGATGGGCCCAATCTTAGATCCATAGGCCAACATTAGAGACATTTCCCCTAGTATAGAGAAACAGCAAAATATCAAAAATATAAATTTATGAACTAATTGAGTGAAGAGAGAAAAAAAAAATATAATAAAAGATAGATTTAAGTCATGAGTCAGTCGTCAAGCAACAGGCAAGGAGGACCTATCACACGCAGGGCTGGTAGCGCTGATGAGATATAATAATAGTAAGTAACCATTTATATTGTACCATAGAAATTCAAATACGGTTTGATATTGAAATAAACTTTTTATGTCATGGAACTCAATATCAAATTTCATAAATTCCGCTAGTTTAATCGAATCTCACAACGGAAACTCCTGTGAAGAGTATTTGAAGTGATTTGAATAATTTACTTTTGCTTACGTTATACATGATGACTAGCAAATGGTAATTCCCATTTTTATGATCTTGAATTTGATTCTGCGTTCGAAATCTCTAAATATTTGATATACCTAGGTAGATAACTTTGATAATTTGCTATGAAATTTTCACAGAATTTGTTCAGAATGATCTCAAGAACATTTTTAGAATAATTCCCCTTCTCTTAAACTTAGAAGCAAATAAGTTATTACAAACATAATATTGCATTCTTGAAATTCTTTGCAGAACAATCAACAACATTCTTGGAAATAGATCATTTTTGTAGTTGGAAACGCTTAACATCAAATATCAGGACTAAAGTGGACATTTTATACTATAGATGAGGAGATGAAAGTAAAGAGTTGATAGTTCCGTTATAGTGTGGCAGTATAAAATTTGTATATAGAAAGTAGAAAGCGAACAAAGGATAATTTTGAGGAAGGTACGAATAGGGTAGAGCATCTCCTTTACCAAGCTCATCCGTTAATGAGGGATGGTGAGGGGTGTGGGTGTTTCCCCCTGCCACCACTGACAAAAGAGATGATCAGGGATTTGCTCATGTACCTCTGATATGCGGAAACAGTTCTATTGATTGTTTCACACTCAAGTCGCTATCTGACGTAAACAACTACCCGATTCGTACCTTCCTCAAAATTGTCCTTTGCTCGCTTTCTACTTTAATAAACAATTTTCACACTGCCGTACTATAACGGAACTATCAACTCTATAATTTAATCTCCTCCTCGTTTGTATAAAATCTCCATTTGAAGTCTGATGTTTGACGTTAAGCATCTCCGACTACGTAAATCGTTAATTCACGCATGAAGTAATAACCAGTGCTGAGATTTGTCATTGTCATTGACAGACTTTCGCGCGATATTGACAAAATTGTTCGTCACATAGTCACTGACAGACTTGATCCTCAAAAAAACCTTCGTCAAAATCTCATTCATTTTTTCGTCAATGACAAAGATTCACCTGGTAACAAAAAGTGTAATTTAGTACATTCTGTGTCACATTATTGTTATCCAAGTAGCTCAGGACGTAGATACTTGTTCACTGAAATGGATCCATGTAATTGTTTTGCTCAAGTCATTTAATTTCGTTACAAATTTAGTTAATAAACAAACCTGCACATGTTCGTCACTGACACCATTGTCATTGACAATTGACATGGTTTGCCTTGACTATGACTGTTAGCTCAAATGAGTGACCAAAGCAGAATTGTCAATATCACCGTGTACTGTCGAAATTTTGCAGCACTGGTAATAACACATGATTAGTTAAAGTAGATTATTTTCGATTTTTTGAATCTTTTAGAAACTCCCTGAAGGCTCCTTCCATAAATCCATCCTTAAAATTTCCATGCAATTAACCTCAGAAGTTTCATAAATTTCTGCTTAGAATAATCTTGGACTTCTCCCTTGCATTCAATTCGTATTCTCCTTAGAATCCCCATAGTATTTCCTCAGAATTCTCAAAACAAAAATCCATCACAAACTTTCAAACTCTTCTCAGAATTCCTTCCTCAAAATTCGAATCCATTTGAATTCTTCTCGGAATTTATTTCGAACTCTTTAGAATTCTCTTGAAAGTATCGTCAGAAATCACCCCAGAATTCTTTTAGAATTATCCGCAGAAACCATCTTTGGAGTTCACGGGATTTTCATGGAATTTTCATCAGAGCCATTTCAGAACTAATTTTGAATTCTTATTATAATTAGACCTAGAATCCTCATCCAATCATCATAGAATTCTTCTCAGAACTCTCGTTTAAATGCACTCTCAATTACATTAGAATTATTTCAAAAATTGTTTCGGTGCTGAATTTTGAGTCTCTATTCATTTAAACAGTAATCAAAAGCGACGCCCGTATGTGTTAAGCCAAGTTTTACTATATAGGTAAACCTGGCTTAAGATTTAAGCGGATATGAAGAAATCGGTCCTCAGAACAGTTAATTTTACATGAGACTTTCGTAGTCTGTACTTTGGTATTCTTCTCAGCTATATCTTGGTGTCTGCCCTAGAATCCTTAAAAATTCTCTTTTAAATCGAAATTGAAGACATTTTCCAATAGTTTTCCTGGTGTTCTAACGTTTTGCGGTCACCCTGGTTAAAATTTTCAATTTTTTAACAGATATGTATATTTTGTTAAAACTACTGTAGACTTTCTTAGTGCCAGGTACTCAATTTAAAAAATTTGTGAAAAAGTGGCTTTAGTGACTATTTTTAGGGAAATAGTGACTTTAGTGACTTTTAGGTGTAAAAATGACTTTTTAGTGACTGGCTTCAAAATAGTGACCAAGTCACTAAAAAGTGACCTGCTACCAGCCC